TCTGCTGTTTTAAAGTGCCTTTCTTTAACTCAGTTAATGCTCCTGGCCCTGAATCCAAGTTGGTTCAAAACTAAAATTGAGTCCCCTGCTTTCACTTTTTTTCACTTTCCAGTTATGTCTTTGATTGTCTTTTAATATCAGACTATAGATGTATCTCCTGTAAATGGTATATAGCTCTGAGATTTAATCTTAGCCATTTTTTAAACAGATGAGTTTAGTCTATTTACATTTATTGAGATTATGAGTACACTCTATCTTAGTTCTGTCATGTTATGCTTTTAATTTGTAGTGGTTTTATTTTTAACCTTTTAGTTTGCAGCCTGTCATTTTTGTTTGTTTGTTCATTGCTTTATGTGTTCCTTTCATTTCTTCTAGGAGTACTTTGTTGCTTTATTATTATTTAATTCCCTATTATAAACAACAATACATCTTCCCTCTCCATTCTACCACCAAATTTTTGTTGTTTAAATAGTTCTCCTTCTGTTTACACTCAAATCTTTAAAAATACTTAAACCTCCATTATTTTACTTGTTTTAAATGATACTTGCTCATCTCTTAGTGGTCTAAACTTCAGGTTGTGATCCATAAGTGGGGCTGTGAAATCCATTTAGTCAGTCATGACCAGGATGTTTTAAGAAATGAAATAGAAAAGAATGGAACGGAAGAAAAATAACACTGTATCTTTCATAGTAATAGTAAACATTTCATGAAACTCCTTTTAGTATAGATAAATATAGATATAGATAGTGAATCTATACTAAGTCTCAATGCAAAGTGAAATGTAGTTATATTGTGGGTGGCAATGAAAATAAAAGGTTGAAAAACAATGCTCTATACCATTTTAAAGGAGGATTCCCTGGAGTTATGATCTTTGACTAAATATTTCATATATATATGAAATATTTGTCTGCTGCAGCTCTAATTTAAATTTCCCGGTTATAAAATTTTGGGGTCATACTTTCTTTTACTTAATATGTTGTTATCTTTGCTCTAAGGCCTTCTAGCATTGTTTACTCATAAGAAAAAGTGTAAGGCCAAGTTAGACGTAACCTGATCTTTCTAGGATTCCCAAGGATTTTTTTTCCCTATTTTGAAGGGAATTCATTTTTCCCACGATATCAGGTATACTTTTGGTCTCCAGATTCAAGTCTTCCTTTATTTCTGGAAGTTTACTTGAATTGTATCTTTGAATTTTTTATTTCTTTGGATTCTCCTCTTTATCATGTATATGTTATCTATCCTTTGACTATTTTATAAAGCTATATCCTCCTCGGTCCTTTATTAATGTCCAGTTATTTTGCTTGCCTTCTCAATCCTGTCCTCCATGTCTCACCCTATTTTTTTCAGCAGTGGCTAATCTCCTTTCTACGGCCTTCAGTAGAACTGTCGTTTCTTTGATGTTTTTATTTTTCTCTTCCATTTCACCTTTGGCCTCTGTCAGTTCGTGTTTCATTATCTTCTGTTTTCCTGTATTGTCAGATCTCTGTTGTCCACAGGTTGATTATTCCACTACATTTTCTTTGAATGTATTGCGTTATATTTTTTCCTAATTTTCACCTGTTCAGTGACTATTTATTCATCCATCATGTGCTTACCTTGTTCCTTTTCCTAACTTTCTGTTTGTGTATCTTACAGATCTTGTGCTACTTCTTTATCATTATTATTATTATTATTCCTACTACTGACCTTTGAATTAAATGAGTTTTTCCTAGACCATATCTTTGCCTGATAGCTGTGGCTAGGGCATCCTTTTAGGCTAAAGAGAATTTTCTCTTCTTAACATAGAAGCTCCTTATGACCCAGAGAAACAGTAAGTGTGTGTATGCATATATGCAAGAGAAAAATTGAGAATGTATATTCCTTTAGCCTGCACTCCTCCCTAGCCTGCAGAGATGGGCAGTTACAATGCCACTTGCGTTTTAGAATCTCTCTACTCCTAGGCCCTCACTAATATACATGGTGCAGAGAAAGATAGTTATTCTATATGTTTCCTCATTGACACACCTTAGAATTTGCCAGTTAGCTGGAGAACTTTACTCTCCCTTTATTGCTGAGATCTGCTCCCATAGGTACCCGAACTCTGTCTTGCTACAGCCTCATTGGATCCATTTGCATATGGCAGCCTTCTGGATATTTTGCCATTTGGAATTCCTGATTTCATCAAAGATGAGCTTGTTTTATAGCTCATAATATCCATGCTGTTTAGGGTGATTTCTGAGAGGATAGGGGAGAGAAAATCCATTTCCATTATCTCAAAAGAAGAAATCCTTTCTAACTTGCCTATATGGACAACAGAGTTAGACCTGCTTTAAAGATGAGTTTGAGAGTCACTGGCATTGAACTTAGGCCATACAGTTCAGTGAGATTGACCTGACAGTCTTGAGCCAGAATTAAACCTATTGAAGAATACCTTCTGAATATAGTATAAATAAATGCTCACCATTATCCATGCATGGGAGCTTTTATTGCTCTGTTGCATTTAATAAGATCTAATTCCGTGACAGTGGTTTTATTGACAAGGTAGAGTTTAAATATTCAACTTAGTTTTGACCTATATTAGAGAAATTATAATGATCGAAGCCCAAGAAAAGGAGGGCAAGAGGGACAAAGAAACCCTGCCACTCACTGGTCTAATATTCCTTTTGCCCCGAACTTGAACTTTTATGGCATTGTCTCCTTTAGCCATTACAGAACCGTTCTGAGTTGGCATTATCCCTTTCTGACAAATAGAGAAACTAAAGCCGAAGAACCTAAGTAACTGCCCAAAGTCACTAGTTAGTAAGTGTTAGAACTCCCACTTCTGTAATCTTTTAACTACCTTTCTGCCTCCCAGGTTACCATAGTCACTAAATTAAAGGGGTCTCCTCTATGACTCTGGGTTCTGTAAAGATAAAAATCAAAAGGGCCTCCCAGGTGTATTGTTTTCTTCATTCAGGCTGGGTGATGCTGCTACTTTCCATGGACTAAGGGGCCATTTCTCTGAGCAGCATCATAACCACACCCAACACTTAACTCGATATATTTTCAACCTGCAGTTTGTAGCCATTAATTAGTTCCTATGAGCTAAGTCATTGTCTCATTTCACAAGTGAGGCAGTCAGTATGGAGAGAGGTTCAGTGATTTTTCCAGAATCAGCAGTGAGTTCCAGAAGAGAGAGCTGAGACGGAACCTCTCCATCCCCGGCTTAGCCTATGCACAAGGGCTCTGCTAACAAGGGTCCAGTCATCTCAGCTACTTCACAACCCACACTGTGAGAATGATGCCTTCTCACACTTCTGCTGTTAGGCGGAGTGTATTATGAAAGTTGAAAACAAGTGAGAAAAAGAAAGGTTAAATTAAGGATTTTATACACAGGAAGCATGTTTCCAGTATTCAGTTTCAAGTATTTCAGACCATGAAGCTAATAGTTACAAGTTGCTAATAATATTTTCTTTATAAAAAAAAAAAAGAAATTACATTGAAAGGGTTATGAGGAAAGGAACTGGCTTATTTTGGGAGGACTGTCAAGCAGTAGAAAATGAAATTATTTCCATTTGTTCTTTTGGCTGTTTTTAGTTTCACCAAGAAATAGATTTTTTGGAGTACATAAATATATAACCACACAAAATATGGCTAGCTTTAAAACACGGAGGAGGGAGATGATATGAAATTAGCCCCTAATACAGGCCTTATTTTTAAATACTTGCATTATAGTAGAAAAAGCCTCAGCTTTCACCCAGTGGGGTCCAAGCACTGTTGAATAATTTATTTTGCTCCTTAAGTGACAATGTGTAGTATTTCATATGTATTGATATTTTTGGAATATCAAGTATGCAGGCAACAGGAGAAAAAGTATACTTAATATGAGGGCGGCTGTCTCAGCACTTTTCTTTCTTGTATGTGAAGTCCATTATCTCCCATGATAACTTTGTTGACAGCATCCACAAATATATTTGGAGCCAAGTTTTATAAAATAGATCCAGAATCAAATGACTAGAGACCCAGCTCATGACACGTCTCAGCCTCAGATAGATGGTACATTTTCTGTTTTAAAGACTCAAACAAAACTTTTCACATTCTTCTTTGAAAAAAAAAAAATTACATTTGAAGTCCTTTTTCACCCAAACACATTTTGCGATAAGAGCTCACAAGTCTTGACATTATTTCATTTTGTTATGCGCATCTGTCAAGGAACTGAGATACGATACAGCTACTAAAAACTGATGATTGTGGAACAGAGAAACTTGACAGCATTTCATTTCCTTTATGTTCTGATTATACATTTATCAGAAAACCTGTATCTCTTCTAGTTCAACTAGAAATTGGTAGAATTCAAGAACTGAAAGGCTTGGCAAAGAACTGTCCTATTATTTGGTGTCATCTTACATTTTAGAGAAGCTGCTTGGTTGAGTCATTGTTAAGGCTTTTGCTTCTCTTTTCATTATTGTGGCCCACTATCCACAGATCACATTTCTATAGGCCCTATAACTGCTTTGCCGCACAAATTAAATGCCGGGATAGTTCATACATATATACGCCAGCCTTTCAATGCTTGTCAATCAGAGTTTATAAAATATAGGGATTACAACCTGATATTAACATCCAAATCTATTGTGCTCATTTTATATGTGAAAATGAGAAATCCTCATGCAGACGCTAGATTTCCCAGCCTCTTTGTCACCCTGTTTTTAATTTATCTCCAGGTTTTGAGTCAGTAAAATGATTTTGCTTATCAATTTAATGTGTTGATAAAACATATCTGTGAATCAGAATGATCAGAACTAACGTGGATCTACAGGTTGTTTGGCATTAAGCCCCAGCTCCACGGAGGGTTTTAATGGGGCTACTTACTTAATAGAATAAATACATCCCTGTATTTTTTTTTTTTAATGGTGCCTTCACCAGTGACATGATTTGCTTCACCTGACGAAGTGGACATAGAAATGCATTGCTTCAGGGAGGAAGACTTTAAAACTTCAAACATGTTCTTTTTCTGCCCTTTTGTTTTTTTTTCTAAACAGGTGTACTTCAAAAGGAATTACCCAGATATCACTCAGAACGGCCACGTGGTTATGAATGCTTCCAATGGACAGCCCTCAGCCTTGACTATTTTTGAGACAGCACTGTGATGCTACCACGATGTCAAGTCTATTCTGAAAGCATCTTCCCAATAGTTTTTGCACTGTGTAAACTATACTCCACTTTCTTTTTTATACTAGCAGCAAGTATTTACACATACAAGATGTTAGTTTATTTGGAGTTTTTCCTCCAACTTCACCCAATGATTTCAAGCTCTAACAAAATCACTTATTATTTTTATTTATGTAAATAGTATTTTTTTTTCTTATCCACATCAGAGGTGCAGGCCACCAAGAAAAGCTGTCTACCAGGTTTGTGCCTTAAAAGACTCTGGATCCAAAGTTCATTTTGTAAAGTATGAGACAAAGTTGTAACAAATTTTTTTTTTTTTTACACTACCCCTAAATTACATGTTACTCTCCAGTTATGTCAGGGATTCTGTTTACTTGAAAACTGTGTGAAGTTGCCATTTTGTCTCACCACTTTATTTAAGATAACTAGGATCCATTATTCCCCCCCCCCCCGACCCCCAGGCCTCTGGTTAAAATAGTACTTACAAAACTAATAGGCAAAACAAAAAAATATATTTTAGTATGAGTGGCATTATAGTAGGGAAAGTCTACTCCCCCCAAAAAAGATGTATAGTTAAAATATAGAAAGACAATATTTAATTATGTGTCCTAAAAGAGGAGGAAGAGAAAAGAATGCTTTCTCAAAATAGCCCTTCTAGGTGATTTGATAATGAAGGACTTAAGTGCGATCATCACGCATCTTTTACATTTGCATGACTCGGACATGGGAACCGTTGCAGTTTCAAACTCGGTGTGGTGATGGTTTCAGAAAAGGCCAATCCACTAACAGTAATTCTTGAATACGTAGTAGTTGTCTTATTTGGATTTCGGGTTTACTGATGGCTAACCCTCTGTCGACAGTAAGCCTTTTGGCTTGACCTTTATTAAAAGCCCTTCTAAATTACATGTATAGCTTCTCCTGAGTTGGTGAGAAAACCCAAAAATCATTGCAAACATTGACTGTAATTACACAGTATGTTCTCAGGATGCATCCAGAGGTTCACGTTTATGAGCCTGCCCAGGTTAGTTTACTTCTGACCACTGAGAGCTGTTTGTTTATGTCTTTATGATTAGTAAATCAACAAACCACACTACTTCCTAGGGCCTGCTGCCTGCTGTACTTTATTTCACTGTGGGTCTGTAGTTTTCCTTCAGGGTGGTGGCTATGGTATGTTGAGTTCGAATTACTGAAGGTTTTACTGTCATGGTTTTAAGTAGACTCTCATGACCTCTCTGAATAAGGTGTAACCGCCCTCAAGTTGCATATATTAGCATATATGCCTTTGTAAGGAGCAGATTTTTGGACTCCTCAAGAGAGAGAAACAGGTGTTTTTATAGAATCAAGCCTTAAAAAGCACACACACAGTAAACTACCAAAATACATTGAGTACAATAGCTGTTGAACTCGTTGTATTTAGAAATAATATGGTTAATGTTTAGTCCAGTAGACTAGTAAATTGTTTAATAGTGTTTGTATTTAATAGTTGGTATTTCAGGAGACTGAAATGACAGCAATGTAATAATGAGGTTTGTTAAAACAGTGGAAATATTTGAAATGTGTGTTTGTTTGTCATTAGAGATTAAAGGCAATTAAAAAATGTTTTTGTTTTATTTCTGTTTTAATGTCTATGATCATAGAGTTTTTAATGGAACAAAATTCGGTTGAAATAAATGACAGTTTTCATCTCCACTTAGAGATCTGTATTTTTGTTCTTAGAAGGAGTACTTGATTCATGTCCTTGCTGTTGAAAGCCAATGAGTTTTCCTGAGATCAAAAAATATCTTCCATAACTGACTGGTTCTCTTGGCTAGTGAAGTGTATGTACCAAACATTCTAAGCAGATAGGTGTGGGTTTCAGACAGATTGAAATAGTTGCTATTGAAGGAAACTCAGTTGCACCACTTCCAAGGAGGAGGAGAAAGTGTTAGCTTATGCCTTACGCTTGAAGAAGTATTAAATTGTTGAGGGTTTTGGTTTTTGAAAGGTGACTTTGTCCTAACCCCAGGGGTTGGCAAATTGCGGCTTGTGAGCCATGTGCGGCTCTTTGGGTACATTCCGTCTCAAAAGTTTGCGGACCCCTGGAAGAGTCAACCTGTTCCTCATAACAATTTAAAAATTACTCGCGAGCCATAAATATATTTTTACATAATCACCATTATGTGAATAAAATCCTCTAAAAATTTTATAAGTGAAACTATGGTAGTTTTATTTTCATTTTCAATTTTACTTCAAAGCCTGCGGCTCTTCCATCTCAAAAGCTTGCCGACCCCTGCCCTAAACTAACAAGAAACATCTTTTGCTAAATTTAAAACACTGCATAATGTTGGTTCTCAAAGTGAGGTCCCTGGATCACCAGCACCTGCATCACCTAGGAACTTATTAAAAATGCAACTTCTGTGTCTCACGTCTGGTGGTGGGATCAGCAATCTATGTCTTAAGAAGCCCTAAGAGGCGGTGCTGATGCAGACTAAAGCCTGAGAACCAGTACCATCGAACATAAAGAACTCCTAAAACTCATTAAGAAAACAGAAAGCCCAGTTGGAGAAATAGACTCAGAAGGTTGAATAGGCACTTCACAAGAGAGAATATCCAAAAGGCCAGTAACTGGAAAAGTGCTCACTCTTGTTAATCACCAAGGAAATGCAAGTTAAAGCCGCAGTGAGATACTACTAAACACCCACCAGAATAGCTAAAATTAAAAAGGCTGAGAATACCAATTGCATGCCAATGGAGCAGGGGAAACTCTTGTGCACTACTGTGTGTATAAAACAATGTATACTGAAAAAAATGACTTTAGAAAATGCTTGGACAGCATTTACTCAAGCTGCACACCACACCCTGTGATGCATTAATTCTACTCCAGATGTATACACATGTGCTCCAAGAGATGTGTTCAAGGATGTTCCTAGCAACATAATTCCTAATAGCCCCAAACTGGAAATAATTCAGAGGCTCATCAACAGCAGAAGGAAAATGAACTGTGATGTAATAGAATACTCCAGAGCAATGAAAGCAATTAAACTACGCTAACATACAGGTGAATCTCACAAACTTAAGCCGGACTCAAAAGAATATTAATGATTCCATTTATATAAAGTTCAAACATACTCACGACTACAGTGCTTCACCTTGGGGAGATGGAAGCTGTTGCTAATTGGGAGAAATAAAAGAACTTCTGGGAGTGCTTAAAAATGATTTGGATGGTACTTAGATCAGTAGTGGGCTCTTCATTTATTTGCTGCATTTTTTTATTTCATGTCAGATTTCATAATTGAATTAACTTTTAAAAAAATTCTCAGCCTGGTTTCCTTTTAGAATCTTGCTCAGATTCAGTGGCTAAATTGTCTAAAAGTGACTAATCTGCACCTGGGAAATCATTTTTGCTTAAAATATGAAGCACTTTAGGGGTTGTCTTGTGGCCATAGGAAATGAAACTCTTGGTACATGAGATCATGGTCTATATTTTCTCTAACCAATGAATAAGATAAGTCCGACTTCTCTCCATTTCCAGGGTAAGTACAAAAATAAGGAACCATAAGGATTTTCTGGGTTCTTTTTTTCTAAACCACTTTATTGAGGTATGATTGACATATAAAAAGCTGTACATATTTAATGCATACAACTTGTTCAGTTTGGAAATAATTATACACCCATGAAACCACTATAATCTATGCCATAAACTTATCCATCATCTCCAAAACTTTCCTCCTGCAGTCTATAATCTCCATTAGTATGAATGAGATACAAACGAATAAAAATTGATCCAATGCTAAATGCTTTTGATAACACCACAAATGGTTGGTGCCTTAACTGTGAAGAAACAACCTAAGCCAATGTAATTAGGCAGTGAGTTAGACTTGTGACAGTTTGGTGAGTTAACTTTTAATTTATCAGCAGATTAACTTGTCCCTATGGAAACTGATGAAATCTGCTTTGTTTTTTTCTGATCGTTTGCAGATAGAAGTCCTCCTCAAAACTGAGTATTTGTTTCATTTCTAATTCTGAAGAGTTTAATGATGTTCAGAATCTCATGCCCTGAATTGTGTCAGTTTTAGCACCTGAATGTATATGTCACTTCCCATAATTGATTCTGTTTTGGAATGTTTTCACAATACACCTTACCTAGAAAACTGTGACACTACATCTCAAAAAAAAAACAAATTCCTTGTAATTCCACTAATATAGTTCAGGGAATTGACAAATTTATATTTGACTAAAACAAAAGAGAAAGGGATCTTTCACTTGGAATGAGGAAAACGAAGAAAGCTCAAATTAAACAGTTCTAAAAGCCATGTTTATGGTCAACCCAGTTTAATCACCAAGTGACCTAATTCTGAAAAGTTCATATATTGAAAACTGAGTGTGTCAAAAAAAGGAAATTTCATTCTACTCCAAAAATAATAGTTATAAACTACATTATTCCACAAGTACAGATTGAAAAATAGTTATAGGTGTCCTCAAGAACTGCCATAAATTCATTGATTAATTTCCACAAAATGTGGTGTATGTGTTTTAATGGGCATGTTGGTCCTTATCAAATTGAGGATTTTAAACCAAAGGTAACCACATTCACACACAAAGTCCTTTCTACCATTTTATATTGTTTTGGGATTTAGAAATAAATGTTAGAATGTGTATAACCAATACTTTTCAAATAAAAATCTACCCCAAGTACTGGAATCTTTCCTTTTTTTGATATGTGATGTAGTTTGGTTCTTTGGGATACAGACTCCTCCTCAGTCTGAGTTTAATGTTTAGGATGTTGATTAGGGAGACCTTTGGGACCAACACTTATGGAACCAAGAAGCAAGAGGCAGGGCAGAGGGAGAAATCAAGCTGGAATGCTGGCCAGACAACCTTAGCCGACCACACTGGGAGCTCTGAAGCTAAGATGGCCCATGAAGGTTGTCCTGCCAATGGCCAGGCCTTTATCCCTCCACCATGCTCGGTTGTTGCCTATAGGCTGCCCCAAGAAATGCTGCTGGCTGAAAGTTGCCCACTAGCCCCACTTCCAGCAGCTGGGGCAACAAATCCTGAAAGGGAGATCTCGGCAGCACATCTCCATGTCTGCCACAGTATGTGTTACAGCTCCAGAGCGAGATAATTAGGATGTATGGTGACAGAAAACTCTGGGTGATTGATGTTTAAGTCAAAACGACTGATTGATTGTCCACAATACCCTGTAGTCTGAAAAAGAGAGGAGAAGGTCCATGTAGGGGAGATATCCTCATGCTCTCAGGTCAGCCTAGTTTTCATCTCTTCTAGGAAGCCATCTAAATTGATCTTCATACCAGGTAACTCCTATGTATTTCTATAATACGCTGACAACCCCTCATTTGTTAAACTGAACCATACTTGGTCTAATGTCCTGTTGTTGTCATCTTGAAATATTTAATTTTTAAACGAAGGATCTGCCTTTTCCATTTTGCACTGGGCCCTGTAAACTAGGTAGCCTGCCCTGATTATAAGTATTTGTAGGTGGTCTGTTTCCTCACTAAACTATAAGCTTCTAAAGATTTGAACTGTGCTTTATGCATTTTTAAATTATATCTAGCACACTGTCACACAGCAGGTGCTCAGTAAATATTTACTGAATGAATCATGACTGAGAAAATATCTTTCTTCTAAACTTTATACTTTTGAAATGTTAAGAGGTAGCCTGGGATAATAGAAAGCCCTGGTTTTGGACTCATTCACCCAGATCTGCATGCCAGTTCTGTCTCTGCCGCTTGCTAGTAGTAATGTGGGTGACCAAAGAATGTATTGTCCATAGTGGGACACTTGAGAGTGAAAGGAAAGCACCAACCAGCCTAAGGTGCCAGGGCAATAAACTGGCACCATCCTTGACAAAATGGGATATGCTCACCCTATAGGCACATAGGCTTAGTTACATGCTTGTGTAAAAAAAAAAAAAAGTTACATGCTCTCTGAACCGCAGCTTCTTGCACTATGAAATGGATATAATTCCTGCCCTTGCACAGTTGGCTTTGGTTGGGATGATTGTTGGACTAAGAACATCCAAAGAAACAGAAAGGATGGAGTCATTAACCTTGGACAAGAAGATCCCCTCTTCCACCAAGATAGGTGGATGAAGGTAGGTTTGTAGAGGGTAGAAGGTATGTTTGAGGAGGTCCTTATCTGATGGCTCAAAATATATATAGTTATTCATATATAGTTAAAATAAAACAAGCACATGGAGAGGAGCACAACCTCTGGAGTCAGTCTTCCCGGTTCAGATAACTTCCCCTGTGCATTTGGCTGTATGGGTTTAGATATGAGTTCTACTCCCTGCTAATTGTGGGCTCCTACGGTTGGGAAGTACACCATGCTTCATTTCCTTCGTAAAATTGAGATAGGGATAGTAATTTTCTTAGAGGGCTGTTGCAAAGATTAAATAGAACAGTAACACAATATATGGTCTGTCAGCTAATATGCAGTCCATGAAATGTTTGTAATTAGGAATTTCAAAAAATCTAGAAACTCTAGCCACATAACATCGCCGTGACATCCAGACTCAGGGGCGGTGGAATCTTGTTGAACAGGCTAGAGATCAGTTTGAGTGTTGAACTTGCATGATGAAGCATTTGTGGCTTGAGCTGCCCATGAGCCATGTGCAGTAGAAGCAATTATTAGTTTTCAATAGATTAAAAATTTTATATAATTTTAAATAAACCCAACTCTTAATCCCA